TACCCCGAAAGCACTTTAGAGGCCGTTCACATGTCGCGCGTGTTTTTTAATTATATTTTTGCGCGTGCTTATTCTTTCCAAAGCGCTTGCTCTCACGCGGCGTCTGTCGTTGCTATGCAACGCCAACGAGTTTTTATTAGGAGCGCGCTTGAATCACGCCTATATTTGAAATTGCGAATTTGCATGTAATCGGCCTCTTATGGCAACGTGACATTAGCCTAATCCAAAATATTTCCATATGTGGCTCTTTCCTCCTTTCGTTTCAACAAGTGGATTCAGAGAGAGAGAGCCATATCAGCGTTATAAAGAGGACGCAACTGTGCACGTTTCAGACAGCGCGTCTAGAACAGAACTGGATTAACCTGGTACTCGGTACCTAGAAAAGCTGGTACCGTAACATTTTTTTTTTTTTAGTACCGACTTGGTACCGAAGTACCGAGTTTTTTGACAACACTAGATCTTACTGTACATCTAAATTCAATATGTAAAATAATTGACATTAAGAGAAGATGAGGGTGAAGGTATTTCTGACTTATGTATTTCATTCATTCATGCTGAACACTTTCATCTTTATAATTGTAATGCATGAAAACTTATGAATAAAAACTGAGCTTGAATGACAGGAAGCACGAGCGAATTAGAGGGCGCCTGTTTTGCACCTAAACCAGGTCAGGTTCCTCCCGCAATTGCAGGACGCCTCTCGACTAGGACGTGAATAGGCTACTATAAACACACAAGGCCATATTTTAACGATCTGAAACGCAAGTGCATTATCAAGCTCGAAGTGCAATTAACTGTGGGCGCGTCTTGGGCGCTGTTGCTATTTAACCGGTGGGATAAATGACTCTTGCTCTCAACGCAAGTTTAAAAGGGGTTGGTCTGAAGTAGCTTCATTATTCATAGGTGTGGTTTGGGCGTAATATGAAATAAACCAATCAGAGCGTCATTTCACATTCCCTTTAAGATCGTGATGAACGAGGTGCGCTTGTTCCATGGCGCAAAACTATTATAACGGCACATTAACCAGGTGCGCTTCACAATCGGTTCACAGTCGAGGAGATCGATGTTCTCGTCAGGGCCGTAAAAGAAAGAGAAGTGATATTGGGGCAAAAAACACACCCAAATTAGCTTTGGTTAACCATGCATATAATAATTTGGGTAAATGTGTAAGCTTTATGCCCGTTTTTCCCATCGTCATGGACACAACAATGATTTTCCTCGTGTTTTAATAGTTTTCCTTATAATAATGTATCATTTGCAAAAAGTAAAAGTAGAGGAGAGAAATCATCTACAGTGTATTCGCGTTGTATTATGGCCAAGCATTCACGCTTAAAATAGCACGCGCAATGCGCCACTGACTTTAGGTTTATTTTTACTAATAAATGGTAGAACAAACCCCACTGTATGGGGCATATATTATTCATATGACACACAAACACACAAGTAGACAAGACCTGTTTAGTTCAAAAGATGACTCGTTACGGAAAGCGCAGATCATAATTGATGATACGAGCAGCACGAGCGCGGCCAGATCTGCCTCGCGTGCGCACCAATTGCACACTATTGTGACTCCCCACCCTGCCTTCACGTTACCCCCTATCTGTACTATGAATACTTCGACCTCGTCTGACAATACCCAGTGATAAATTCTCCACCACAATACTGTCGCCGCGATCGCGGGGCTCTGATGAAATGGCTCACTCTCACACTAGCTCTGCTTTTGATCGCACTGATTCAATGCGCTGTAACTCAAACATTTTGTATAGAAACATGACATATTGAGTCGGGGATGAAGTATGACATCTCTGCCATCCAGCTGAGGGGATGTCAAACGAAATTTGACACCAATTTTGACAAAATCGGCCATTATATGTAGTGACGCATCTTGTCGAGTAAACTCGACAGTGGCGTCAAGAGGGTTAAATAAGTTTGACTTCACTTCATTGCAAGCAATAGATCGATTTATGTTGTAAAGTTAATGAATTTATCTTTTTGTGTTGATTTAATCAGAATACTTCTTGATTTCCTTTGTTGTGTGTCATTATATTGCTGGAAATAAATAAATCCATTCATTCATTCAACAAATATATGCTGGTCAAATCATGCATGATTTAATATGCGTTATGGACGTGACATAACGGACGCTTTATAATTAGGTTGTTTAGAGCAAATAAGTGAGATGAATTGTCAATCATAACTAGAATTGACATATTTTGGCTTTGTACATGCATTTTCAAATTAATTGTACTAATAATTATTATACAATATAAACGTATTCTTTAAATCGTTATGGATGTGACACAGCACTGAAGGGTCATGACTTCCAAAATAGATCCTTTATAAATTTAAAGGGCAATGCAGTTATAACAAAGTGGGTGTATTTATATCTCAGTCATGCTCCCATCTTTCTGCAAAATGCTTACTGTCAACATAAAGTATAAAAAAAATGAGTCTTTGATCCCTCTTTTTAAAGCATGAAAAATGTTTGTTTGAAAAAGCAATTTTAGAATATGTGCACATCTTATCTGAGGTGAATAAACACAAAAATTTCCTTAAAATTTAAATGACAGCACATCAATACAATAAAATACAGACCCAAATGGACAACTTAGAAAGGGTTTTGATATTTTTATAATAACTTTATTTTTTCATGGCAAGATTGACATCTGCATGGAATCGCCCATTAGATTTATTAAGGGGGTAGAGGAATATAACCTAATTCATTGTGTGCATATTAATTGTTTACCTGTTTAGGCATTTTTTATACAGTGGTAGAGAGCCACAAGTCTCACCGTCAGGATATTTTAATTTAAGCCTAAAATAATTATTAATAAAATAATTCTTACCAATAGCTATGATATTGTATAATTCAATTGTATATAGCTGTAAAAAAGTTATTTATTATGGTCTGCATACTGTTGGGTACCACATTTCCTAGTAAATGCAAAACCTTTTTTTTTTTTACTTTAGCTTACTTTGATACTGTTATGTGTTAATAAATAAGCTAAACCCACCGGCCCAGCTCAACTTTTTGATTTAATAATGCGGCCCTCGAATGAAGCTAATTGAATAGCCCTGGTCTAATGTCTACTTTTGTAAACCCTAGATAAAATGTATTTGCGCGTAATTGGAAAACAACTTAACTTTGTTGCCATTGTCTTAAGATGATCTGGACACATTTTCGTGAAAATTGGAGCAATTGCTATTATACATTAGAGGGTGCTATTTGTGAAAAAAAAAAACAGAGGATGTTTTGAGAACATGAACTTCATCACTGCATTTGCAGGAAAAAAATCTTAACTCATGAAGTATCCTAACGCAATATTTTTACTCTAATAGCTTCCCACACACATATATGAACTGTGATCATGCAAAACGAAAAAACATGCAATAATTAAATCAATAGATTAATAGGGTAGGTGCTAATTTATATCAGCCTCTCCTGAACCACGGATTGACTGAGATAAACCATCACAGAAACAGTTTTACTGCTGACTGTTAAGTTAAAGTAATAATGTTAACGTTACATCGTGATTCTGAGCTACAGTGAAATGACAGAAAAGACTATTATCTATGTAAGTCAATTTGCCTCATTCGCGCCACAGAACCTCTAGACGCGCGTAAACACGTCTTTACATTGATTTAACATTGAAATCACTCACGCCAGACGTTTAAGAGTGAGTGTCTAATCAAAAAACCTTTGCTTTAGTCACTATTGAGTGAAACATCGTATGTATAACTTCGGCCATTCTCAGTGACTGGGACACTAGCTCTGCTTGTCATCATAGAAACAGATAATCAGATTGTGATGTTTATTCTGAATATGCTGCCTTCCTTTCTAAACACAGCTCCACAGCCCAGCGCGGACCTGCAACCGTCTCGCAAGTGTTGATAGGCTATTATCCGTGAGGTGTAACCAATCAGATAGCGCCGTGGGCGGGACATTGAGCAAGTCTTCAGACTCATGCAGAGCGGCAGTGTATCAGAGTCAGCCAAAGTAGCGCATTTAAAAATAAAATTGACTAATCAAACCGTGATACGTTTTCTGATCCGTCTCACCACTAGTGTAGTAGCACTGATCACTAAGAGGGGGTGGATAAATTTATCCCCACCGGGGATAAAAAATAATTAAGCAGAGGCAGGGATATATTGACCAGAAAGGGGGAAATCCCACGCATCACCCCCAGCAAATCACACCCTGTATATATGTATGAACCATCCCTAAACTTAAGCTGGACTATGAAGCTATTTCCTTCGAGATCTGCTGTACACCAGAAACAAACTTTGTTGCATTATTTTCCTGTTATCTCTGTAAAGCTGCTTTGAAACTGTTTTGTAAAAAGCGCTTTATAAATAAAGGTGACTTGACTTTCAATTATGGACAGTTGGTGGCGCTAAAGCGATTGAGTTAGAGACTCCAAAGTTGCTCTGGTGAGAGTTCACACAAACCATACTATCTGTGTGCCGAATTTCACAGCTTTCCTGTCAAGTGCTTCTACAGTGGATAATTGGCGCAGTCTGCTTTAGCGTTTTTGTTCCATTCATGTTGTTTGAGCTTAAATTGTTCTTTATATTTTTAATTTAGACATTTTTTTATGTTTTCAACTAAAAGAAAACCTTAAGCTATAACACTGCCTGACCGTAAGCTTGTTCAGAAATCAAAAACATAAAATTTAAAAAATAACGTCTGTCTCATTAAACGTCATTTAAATACACAAATATTTTTATGATTTTTATGAGCCCAAATATTCGAATACAATATTTTCAATGCCCATACCCAATAAGAACGGCAACAAATACAATAGGAGCTTGGCCCCTAATAAATGGTCTGGATAAATTTTATTGGAGTTGCGTGTTCATAATCTTGGCCAGGACGCTCTTGCAAAAAGAGATTATAATCTTAATGTGCTTTCTTTCCTGGTAAAATAAAGGTTATAATAACAATAATAATAATAATAAACAACTAAAAACAAAATGAACAATAGCAACAATAAACTCACGTGTTTCCAGCTTGACCTCTGACCCCTCCGGTTCCTCCTGCGATCTCTTGACACATAACAGCGGAAGAGGAAACTCCATCGCGGTACACGGACTCTGGCGGTAGATCCGCAGGTCGGCACCGCAGAAGTGAGGGAAGTGTATATACGCGTTCTCCTGTGCATCATAGCCCAGGATGGACTCGCGGCACTCGTGGATCGGCTGCGCGAGAACTGCGACCTGAACGTCCTTCTGCGTCTCGTACACGTGATCGCACAGGCCCTTGAGGAGCCACACACGCTGCTTAAACGTGAGCATATGGAACGGCGTCTCCTCTAGCGGACTCACGTCTCCTAGCGTCCAGAAGAACTGATGTGAAAGTCCTAGGAGTTCGGCACGAGCTGTTTGGTCCTCTGCCCTCGCGAGCGAACGATACCAGTCCTGGACCCGACGCCGGAGCTCCGCCTCCCACTTTCTGTATGGCAACGGCGGGCGGCGGTGGGCATTCGCTCTTTTATTCGGGTGAAGGAGGAGAGAGGTCATGACCTTAGCTAGGAACGAGCTACAGCGCGGCATTAGCAAGCAGCGCTCCAGCTCGTAGAAGACGATCTCGGGGAGGTTGAGTGCCTTCTGAGCCAGACACAAGAAGTGGCCGATGGCGGGAAGCTCCCACATGGTCCGGACAGCCCACGGTTCCGCCAGCGCAAGCAGTGAACTCTCCCAATCCTCCAAATCTTTCACCGACGCCTCCTCTGCTTCTTTACGCTCCAGCTCACGCTGCCTAGAGGTCAAAGGTCAATGGTTACAGGATTTAGGAGTTCTATGCAAAATACAAACTGATAAAATAAAAGTATGGCTTAAAGGTATAGCGGAGGATCTTTGCGAATTTTAGAGAAGACCCGCCCTCTCCATTTTTAAAAAAAAATGCACATGCAGAAACACAACACTCTTGCACCCGAGAGGGAACGCCTATTACGCCTTGCACAATTTTGTTGCAAATTATAAACTAACTCAAAAACATTCATAAAAAAGACAACATGCCAAATGCCCTTCCGTGTTTTAATTACTTATTATACTGATCGATTGAGTGACCGAGGACTCAAGACATGATACTGTATGTTGCAACCCTGTATCACACGAAATACGTTCTGAGGAAACTATTTTGCAAATCGCAATTACGTTACATGGCAACATATAAGCAGTGCTATTACGTTGGTCCTTAACCTAATATGTCTCATTGTTAATATGTAGGTATTAATACGTTATTTTTATACATAGTTGCATATGTAATGGAGAAGTTAGCTTGTTGCATTTGTGTAATAATAAACACAAAAGGTTTTAGAATATGAACACATGAACACACAAGGTTTTAGAATATTTCAGCGTGATACCATTTACCATTTGGTCAAAAGGCTACTTTACACAAATTGACAGAGGTTTACCGTAACTTTTACTAGTGATTTTAAATGGATTTCTCCAAATAGTATGACAAACTTTACCTGTCTGGTAGAATCTTCGCGACTGCAGCATCAGTGAGAAGCCCAACCTGTGCTTTTAGCGCACGCCAGCGTGTGATATTCACCCAAAATCACTCTGGTCTTGTTTCTATATTCTGCGGCCTTTCTCTTCTTATCATAAACTTCGTATACATTTTTTCTCTTTCGACCCTCAGCCAAAAGGAATGGCTGAAACGGTGACTGACATAGGCTAATACACCTGAAAGTGAAAACTACATAGGGATGAGCACGTACGACGGCCTTACGTAAACATATCACCAGATTGATTGACACTTAGGTGGACCAATAGTATAGACTACCCACCCGGAAAAAGAAAATCCTCCGCTATACCTTTAACTTGAAGAAATTATGACTGAAATAATATATAGTCAAACCAAAAATTATTCCGAAAGTGATTCCCTATGGATCTATATGTTCAAATAAAAGTGGTTTCCTATGGATCTATGAGTTAAAATAAAAATGGTTTCCTATGGATCTATATGTTCAAATAAAAGTGATTCCCTATGGATCTAACTGTTCAAACAAAAGTGATTCCCTATGGATCTAAATGTTCAAACAAAAGTGATTCCCTATGGATCTATATGTTCAAATGAAAGTGATTCCTTATAGATCTATATGTTCAAATAAAAGTGACTCCTTATGGATCTATATGTTCAAATAAAAGTAATTCCCTGTGGATCTATATGTTCAAACAAAAGTGATTCCTTAGGGATCTATATGTTCAAATAAAAGTTATTCCCTATGGATCTATGTATATGTTCAAAAGAAAGTGTTTTCCTATGGATCTATATGTTCAAATAAAAGTGGTTTCCTACGGACCTATTTGTTCAAATAAAAGTGGTTACCTATGGATCTATGTTCAAATAAAAGTGATTCCCTATGGATCTAAATATTCAAACAAATGTGATTCCCTATGGATCTATATGCTCAAATTAAAGTGATTCTCTATGGATCAAAATGTTCAAATAAAGGTGATTCCTTATAGATCTATATGTTCAAATAAAAGTGATTCCTTATGGATCTATATATTCAAATAAAAGTAATTCCCTGTGGATCTATATGTTCAAACAAAAGTGATTCCTTACGGATCTATATGTTCAAATGAAAGTGATTCCCTATGGATATATGTTCAAATAAAAGTGGTTTCCTATGAATCTATATGTTCAAATAAAATTGATTCCCTATGGATCTATATGTTCAAATGAAAGTGATTACCTATGGATCTATATGTTCAAATGAAAGTGTTTTCCTATGGATCTATATGTTCAAATAAAAGTGATTCCCTATGGATCTATACATGTTCAAATAAAAGTTGTTTCCTATATGTTTAAATAAAAGTGATTCCTTATGGATCTATATGTTCAAATGAAAGTGTTTTCCTATGGATCTATAGGTTCAAATGAAAGTGGTTTCCTATTGATCTATATGTTCAAATAAACGTGATTCCCTATGGATATATGTTCAAATAAAAGTGGTTTCCTATGAATCTATATGTTCAAATAAAATTGATTCCCTATGGATCTATATGTTCAAATGAAAGTGATTACCTATGGATCTATATGTTCAAATGAAAGTGTTTTCCCCACAATGTGTGTTCACCTCTTCTGGTCTTTCGCTTTCTGCAGCTCCTCCAGTCTCAGCGCCTGCACCATGATGGACTCACTGCCGCCCACTGTAATGGCCGCCAGGTTTCGTGGCACCAAACGCCGCCTGGACGACGTGCCGACCGACGCTTTCTCATCCTCGGTGCCAAAACGACCTCTTGAAGTCACAGCTAGCGTGGTTTTCTCACGCAACGTCCTGGTGTCGGAAAGAAAACATGAGTGAATCTCAAAGCTTCAATTCAATTCAATTCATGTTTATTTGTATAACGATTTTCCCAATATACATCATTTCAAAGCAGCTTTACGGAAAGTGCATAAATCCGTATTATAATTTAGAATGATCTGTTATCAGAGGAAACTGTCGACGTTATGCATTTCAGGAATGTACATATATAACAAAACAAATCAGTTAGCTAAACAATAACATCTTACTGAAACTTTTAATGTAGAGATTCTAAAGTAAATTTGAAAAAATTGTTACATCCTTATGTAAAAAATTTAAAGTAAATGCTTCAGAAAATGTTTTACATTTTTTCTTATGTACATTGTTGCATCCATAAAAAAATTCAATTTAAATTGGTAACTAATCCATTCTGTTAAACTACATTATAAGAATGCGGCAGAGAACTTAATTGGTTCTTGAGTCACCTGACTGAATCTCAATAGCGACTTGTGATTATTACCTGGACAACAGGGTCAACTTTTGTTCAAGAATAATCTCCAGTTTCTGGGCCTGTTTAGAGATCCAGTGATCAACTCCGTGAGAGCGATAACAGTTCTCTAACATCAGTCTGAAATCGGCCACGAACGCAGTGATGGATTCATACTCGCGATTTACAAATTTATCACTCATCTTTCTGAAGCTCATGTCTGCATCAGAGCTCTGGGATCTGGGATGCCAGAACGGGGCCGTTATGGATTTATGCTTCTCAGAAAGAAAGCTTTGAAATATTCTGTAGGCCTGCTGGATCTCTGGCGTGAAATTGTCTCCGTTCTCCACTGTACTGGACTTGCTGTCGTCTTCAGAGGTCACCGGGTCACTTTCATCACAATGTGCCGTGAAATTCTCAAGCTCTGATTGGTCAGAAGACCCATTGCACAGGAGCTCCACCCCCTCCGGGCCCATGGGTTTCAGTGCACAGGAGGTCAAGGTCATACGGTGGTTCAGGTTCATGTCCTCACACGTGTGTGTGCTCTCACTCGGGTCCGAATGAAGCTTCATTCTCCTTCTGTGATGCTCACCTGCACAGGTGCCTCCAGCATCATCTGTCAATCAATGTCAATCTGGCATCACATAAAGAAGCCATTGCTGGTCCTGACGGAGACTGTGTGAAGAAAAGACATTAACCGTTAAAACGGAAGCCAAAAAATATTAAAATGAAAAACAGAGAATTTGTGGAAAAGAAATAACAGAGTTTGTATGGGGAAATAGATTTATAAGGGCCCTGTTGAAAAATATTACATTTAAATGTTATTAAGGCAGTTCATCAGATATGCTTTTAGATAAAATGGAGTTGAATCATTGATATAAGAGAATAAAGAAAAAAAATATATGAAAAACATTGATTTGGGGAAAAAATGCAGAAAAAAATGTCATTTGGCCCTGACAAAATTAATTTCAATAAATAATAAATATAAATGCTAACAAAATAGCAAATTGTTGAAGTTTTATTACTTCAGTTGATTCGTTCGTATTTTGATTAAAAATAAACTTCTTAAACTAATGAGAATATGGACATACCGTTTAAAGAAAAAATACTATAAGTTACTTCCAGTTAAATGAGTAAGTTACTTGATGTAAGTACTGCATAAATCATGTTCCAATAAATAATAATAATTAAAACTCGTGCATTTACATGAATTTCTACAAATCAACAAATCGGCTGAAACTCATTTAAAGTCGATAAATCAGCTATAAATTGTGCTAATCCCTCAGTCTTTCATGTTTTAGGAGTGTTTGCAGCATTACCGGAGCGCTGTTCTGTATTGTCGAGTGAAACATTAAACCGGCCGCACTAGGCCTCAGCGCCAGCGGCCTCGATTTCGCTCTCACACCCGGGATGGCTCACCTGAGCCGGGCAGCCGCCGCTCTTTCTCCCGGGGACCGATGAATTTCATAGTTCCACTAAGGCGCAATCTGTCAGAAAAAAACGGCGCTAACGTCGCGGTTGTTTTTCCGCTTTCACGAGGGAAACCCTGTCAGATTTATGCGAAAAGCGTGTGATAGCGAATGAGATGAGAGACTCGGCGACACTGACTGAATCACAAACAGTCATAGACCGCTGTTAACGTGTGTGTGTGTGTGCGCGCGCGCGTGCGTGTCTGTGTGTGTGCAGAAAAAAATGATCAAAACTTCATACATGTTAGACTTAGAGGACCAGAGTTATAGCAAGGTTTTAATACAAAGGAAAGGAATGAAATCTAATTCTTTTCATTTGCTCAAGGCTAGAAACATGAACCTGTGTGAATATTCCAGAATATTCCAGTTTTATTTGACTTAAAACACTTCATTCTGTCCCGCTCTTCCCTCAACACATGTTTGAGAAATCAACTCTCTCAGTAAAGCTCTCAGAGTAAATGTTCAGATTCGATATTAAACAACAAACTCGGAAATCTTCAGGTGAATCTTAAATTCAGCTCGGCAGTTCGTATTTTCGAGTCGTGTTTCCGACATCAAGTCACTTTCGTCGAAGCAAGATGGCGGTGTACCATCACGTAATTAACATAGACAGTAAAATAAATTCAACTACTCAAAACTGCAACAAGGTTTAAACTCTACTCCAAGAAAATTAATTAACGTTACAAAGAAGACTGTGCAGCAGTGTTTTGCTTCTTATTGGTCTGTATTGATTTATGAAGCCACAATAAACGTTAGCGTTACATATTATATTACAATTGTTATTTTATTTCATTTTTTTGAAGGGAATCTAAACCTTATTCAGTTGTTGTAAATAAAAAGGTGGGTAAAACAAGCTTTCATAAGTTCAAGTGATCAATTTGTAATTACGATATTTTCAACATGACTTTGCACCATAAAAGAAATGAAATTCATAAATAAGTATTTTTATCCTGTGACATGATTTTTATCTTATAATATTAATGCCCGATTATAATGATATTTTCATGATAATTAAGCCTGTCAATTCAAAAGTTTCCTTTTATATTTATTTTGGGGTGAAATAAAATTTTCATGGCAAAGAAACTGCATTGAAACATGAAAACGAAAGGAAAAAGATACACAAGTATAAAAGACAAATCAATCAAGATCATAGTCCTTTGATTATTTGTTGTTATTATTATTATTTATGAGTTTGATAGATTTTTACAGTATGGGAAATCACAGCAAGACTTCACATCAAAGTGAACGTTCTTGTGAACAAAAGAAGTCTGGTTTAAGAAAAATAAAGAAATATATCTTTAAGATGTTATGCATAGATGAGGTGACGTCACCACCAACCAGCATGCCATGTTCTCAGTCAACACTAGATGTCTCCAGTGTTCAAGAGGCGTTAGGAAACACTAGTTTACGAGATGAGTAGATATTATGTCTCGTTTTCTGGGGAAATTCATCAAAATTAATTGTTTTGTTGCTTAAAAAAAGCAAAATTATGTGGCAATGTGGGGTAAAAAAAAAAGTCTCTGTTTGAACTAAGATTATTTTCCTTACCACATTGGCAGAAAATTTTGCTTGTTTTGAGCAAAAAAATCACTTAATTTTTATTTATCTCTCCAGAAAACAAGACATAATATCTACTCATCTAGTAAATGCTTCTTAATTTAAGAATTTTTAGATATTTGGAATGGAAACAAGACAGAAATGCTGAATAAGAAAGTCATTATTGCGGTGTATGTGTAGTACGAACACACTTTCCTCAGCAAATATGAATATTTAAAATTTTCATCATGATTCCTGATAAGAACCTTAAAAGAATATTAGATCTGATCATGTGACTCTTCTCTGTGTGAAACAGAACAAAAAAAAGACAAATCACACTGATTCTGGAATCAAAATATTTAATAAGTACATAACAAGTATTATACCATGTATAAAATTTGGAATCACAATTGGAAGCGATGTGTCTGCTGGGATTAACCACACTGGAGGAGGAGCGGCGATAGTCGACAGTAATGACAGGAGGAACTTAAACCCATCTCCAGTAATAAGTGCAAGAAAACATGAAACACCACAGTAAAGCTGAAGCAGAGCAGAAGAGAGGATCACACACACCAGACCAAACCAGAGATTCTGAGTCTGGATAATCTTTAAACATTTTACATTTACATTTCCTGAAAAACAAAAGCAAAAATCTTTAGAGAAAAAGGACGTCACCACGAAAAGAGGACAAACAGGCCAAGCAACGAACAACACTCGGCAAACAGACGAACACGTCAGCTAAACGAACGTTTGCTCGAAGCCTGAAGAAACACAGATCCGAACAGATTCTCAGCGAACACACTCTTCTCATGACCCGAACACAACATCGGCTCGGACTCCACTTCAGAAACACGCGCGTTCAGAAACCCCCCCGAGATATTCTGATTAGCGACATTATTTTCATTCAATTCAAACACATTTTGACCCCCATTAATATGTCAAAAACTGATATATTATTTATTCAATTGTATTTATACATTTAAAATATTAAAAGTACATATAAAAACGATCCATATTAAAAGCATTTACACGTTGTATTCGATACACTGCCTCTAATGCTTGTTTTATTAACAAAAAAAAATCTGTTTTACAGTCGATAGAATCAAAGTAAAATCACTGATACGAAATAAAAACATCTGGACAGGTTAATAAGAGTTTGGGAGGAACTGTGTTTGTGTGTCACTATGCAGATAATAGTTTCTGTGTGCGGAATATGATGTTTTTAGGCGACGTGTTTCTGACAGGACTCACGAGGAGCGCTCGCTTCAACGCATCACTGATTCTGAGAAGTTTGTCGTTTCTGGTTGATTCTCAGTCGATCCAGACGTGATGATGTTCATGATGGACACACGATCGAGTCACATGACCCAGCATCCGTTGGGTTTGCGGTCATGTGGTACAAATGCCAGGCTGGTGCTGATGGGGGACTGTGTGTGTGTGTGTGTGTGTGTGCGTGCGAGTGTGGATCTTTGTCCGTATGTTGAGGATCAGACTCATCGTCCTTTGCTGTATCCGGGGAAGAACTGATCCAGGAGCAGCTGGAGGGTTTTGTTGAGGCTCATGGCGTAATCTCTGCCCAGGTCGTGGCGGCAGGCGGGGCAGGTGAAGACTTCAGCACGGAACGACCTCTGCAGACACGACTGGGAGAGAGAAAGATGGATGAGAAGACACACACAACAACCGTTACTGACACGTCTGAGAGTACGAGCACACACACACACATACACTGTTACTGACACGACTGAGAACACTCAGACACACACAACACCGTTGCTGACAGGTCTGAGAACACACACACAACTCTGTTACTGACACGACTGAGAGTACGAGCACACACACACACACACACACACACACACTGTTACTGACACGACTGAGAACACTCAGACACACACACACACAACTCCATTACTGACACCACTGAGAACACACACACCACCGTTACTGACACAACACACACAATCAAGATGATTGACAGATGTATGCAGCACAAACCTTGCAGACCGTGTGAGTACACTCAGTGGTGACGGGCTGGAAGGATAATTCCTGACAACACACACACATGAACATCTGCTCCACCTTACGCAGGAAGTTCTGCAGGACAACAGGAAGTGATGCATTAGGGTTGCCATGGCAACAACAGTATATTAACCGTCAAGTTGCAGAAGAAACTTATTTAAGTATCATAGACATTAGGGCTGGGCAAAAAAATCGATTTTTCGATTAATCGTTTTTTAAAATGTGTTCGATTCAAAATCGATTCTCAACGGCCGGAATCGATTTTTTCCATATAAAGGGCTCGCGGTGCTGCATCTTCTCGTCTCTCTGCACTAGGCAAGCCCCAAGCGCTGCAGCTGTCGATACACACACGCGTTTAGGAGTCGGGACACGACGAAATATTCACTTAACAATCGGGCCAGCATTGCATCGTAACCTATGATCGTAACTAACGTTTATAATTTTCACGTCTTTTTGAGTTTTACAAGCAATGTTAAACTATCCCGTGCTCGCGCACTCTCAGAGATGTCTTTCACTGCGTGCACAGTAACGTTACAGCCTAAATCTGCCTCACAAACAGCTCGCCAGAAACAAAAGTTTTATCCCTGGATTATATCACTTTAACAGTTAAAACACGCGACATTGTCAAAACTCTGGTCTTGGTGAGTAACCTCGTAAAGACAGTCGGTAGTGTCTTAAATTAGCATTAAACGCGTATGACAGAAAGTTAATGAAACAGTAATGGATTCGCGCACTAGTTCTTAAAGTGAACGCAGCCATTTGTGTCAGTCATTAATTCTGTTGTCATAACAACAGAATATAGTATTAATTGTAAGCAATCAGAATTAATAGCCTTTGTATTTAATTCAGTCTGGACTAAAAAGACGTGTTATTTTACATTGGATTACTTTAGTCAGTTTCTGTAGTATTTCTGACATACCCAAAAACTACCCCAAAATGTCTCTTAATTTGTGTCTTTATTCTATTGTATTTATTTGTGCTACTTTTTTCAATTTAATTCAAAGATTGAAATCAAGCTTCCATACATAAACTCTTAAAACAAAAATAAACAAATAAAAAAAAAAAAAAAAATTACATTACCATTTAGGTAAGATCAATGTAAAAAAAAAAAAAGTATAAATATTTATATATTTATTTATCTTTATCTATCTTAAACATAAAATAACATGATACTGTTTGATCAAGCTGTGCGACTGTTCTGACTTTTTTTGCATATTGCATCAAAATCCTGTTTATTCTCTGTATGCATTTAGTGTACCTAAAATAAAAAAAAAGAGTTTAATATACAGGTTTATGGCTCTTAATTTCCTTGTATTAATTAACCACTAGTAAACTTATGTCCACTGTTCTTTTTTTTAATAAATATAGGATTTGTATTACATCTTCATTATAGTCGAATCGAGAATCAAATCAGGAATCGGAATCGAAATCGAAAATTGAATCGAGAATCGAAATCGAATCGAACTGAGAGCTTGTGAATCGAAATCAAATCGAAATTAAAATGTGAATCGATACCCAGCCCTAATAGACATACTATTATAGTTTATTTTATTTTAGTGTGTGTGGATGTGTGTGTATTTGTGTGTGTGTACCGGTCCCTCTGTGAGGAAGCTCAGTGCTTCATCCCACAGCTTCCTGTTGGGTTCGTCTTCCTCTATCAGATTCCGCTGCTGTTCTGACAGAACGAACGATTCCACTTCCTTCAGACGCTTCACCTGTGGCTCCTCCTGCTCCTCGCACACACCTGACACACACACACACACGTTCATATAGATGCACTTAAACAAAGAAGCACACAAACACACACACTTTCTCTCTCTCACACCCACAAACACACACACACACACACACACTCTTGCTCTCTCTCTCACACACACACACACACACACACATACACACACACTCTCTCTCTCTCTTAGGCCCCGTCCACACTACTGCGTTTTCTTTTAAAAACGGAGAATTAAAACGAATACGATCTCCGTCCACACCAGCGTTTTTTCTGCGTATTAGAAACGATCTCCGTCCACATTAAAACGACTGAAAACGCGGATCACGTGACCATTCACCAACACTGGGCATGCGCGTGCCGGTGTAAACAGTGAATGACGAATCAGGGAAGGACACGTCATAACTGATAACACCCAATCATAGAGCCAAGCGTCAGCCTTTGCGTCAGTGTTTCTGAAGTTCTCCGTTTTGTCTCGTCCACACTAAAACGCCCTCCGGAGATTCAAAACGCAAAACGCAGCTGCAGCGTTTCTAAACTTCTCCGTTTTAGGTCTTCGTTTTTCCCGTTTTAGTGTGGACGGGAGGTGCAAACGTAGCAAAAGGTCTCCGTTTTTAAACGAAAACGCAGTAGTGTGGACGGGGCCTTACACACACACACACACACACACAGATACTCACTCACACACTCACGCTCTCTCTCTCTCACACTCTCTCTCTCTCTCTCTCTCTCTCTCACACACACACACACACACACACACTCCAGGAATGGAAATGAACTTTTTTGTCCACCGGCCACTGTGGCTGGTGGATTTCAAAATCTACCAGCCACTCAATGTTTTTACCAGCCACTTTCTTGTTTTTAACCGACAATGTGTAACTACATATGGAAATTACTACAAGATCTACAATACTTAACCAGTTTATTTAATCTCAAGTCTCAATGAAATACTCACATTTTCTATTTATCTCTTATAAACACACACAAACCATGAACTGATATACATTTCGTTAAATTAGTAGGGCAGATTAATTAAAAAATTTAAAATTTATTAAACGTGTAGAATACTTTCCAAGCCATAGCATTATAAATTCAGATAGTGTGATATATCCACAAGTTTCCGAGGGGCGCTCCTGTAAAAAATAAAGTGGGTGAAACTTCCGGTGACGCGGCGGAAGTAGCATTCCAATGGTATTTTGTGTGTTAGTTAGCGAAGAGGCTAGCTGTTTTTCGGAGAATTATTTTACTATTTAAAGACGCAAATCTTTATGAGAGATGTCGTTACGGAGCTCAGGGACAACATGTGCTGTTCGAGGTTGTATGTATAACCAGATTAAACTAGTTCAGTGGCTTAAACGTGATTGTTTTGAACATAAGCTGAAAACGAAATCACAGTGATCCTGCCGCCCGTCTCTGATCTTGCCAACGACTGTATCCATCACCTCCCAAAAGACGACGAATCTTCCTGTGTACATTTGTTTAAATTCTTAATATTCTATAAACTCTCTCAGCATGTGTTTGGCTGTTCGCTACTGATGTTACAGCTAAACTCAGGATCAAAGCCTGTGTTGACAGAATACCAAATGTGCCAGTTAATGTATTCAAGTAGCACATTCATTTATAATTTTGAATAAACTCCAAAGCACAATGACTAAGTGTGTATTTTTTATTTTAATTGTTTGTCAGCTCACACAACTGTCTGTCACCATGCCTTGATGAGTATTGATTATTAATAATGTTATTATAATACTCCCAATCAACTACTGCGGAGGGTAAAGGTACTGTTATTTCACCCTTTTTAATTTCGTTGAGGTTGTGTTCCCACATCGTTAGCTAGTTTGGATCGCTATAACTTGAATGACTGTCAACTGTTGAATGAACGAGTATCAAGCATGTCAAGTCGCGCTTTGTTTACTTCCAACCGGAAGTCGCGCCCACTTTTGACGCAAGGCCTCATGGGGCGTAGGAAACTTGTGGATATAAAAAATAAAACATAAGTTTAACTTTTAAAATCGATTGAACACGGAGCAGTTTTTCCTGTGAGTGAGACTGGAAAACCCGTAGTGGATGAAAGCGGAGTGATTACAGAACGCCTAGAGTGCAGAGGGGAATGTGCTTTGGCTCCAGTCCTGGCTTTGCGTCCACGCCGTTCTGTCTCGCATGGACATTCACTCTAGATAAGAGGATATTTTAACTAATTTGCGGTAAAACTAGTCGATCACGAGTGGCTCAACTGGTGGATCTATAGATAAACTCATCTTTCAGGCATTTTACCGACGGCTTGACGCTTTAGCGTGAGAAATCGGGGGTGTGGCGTGAGAGCGTGAGAATAGCCGTGAGTCTCACGCTCAATGCGTGAGAGTTGGCAACCCTGTTGGCGGCAAGCTCGCCTAGCTCTCCCTTTGGACGGCAAACCCATTGATATCATATAGAGACCTATATGATGTCTATAGGCAAACCGCCTCTCGCGCTACCGCGTTTTCTTCCCTCATCGAGCCTCGACGGAAGAAGCGCGCGGGTGTTGAAGGTGTGCCTCCTCTAAAAGTGTCCGCCGTTCAGGTGAAACAGTATGCTATTTTTATTTACCCGCCACGGTGGTGGGTAAGTGAAGTGAGTTTACCCGCCACAACACAAAATCACCCGCATTTGGCTGGTGGCGGGTGCTAATTTCCATCCCTGACTCACTCACTCACACACACACTCTCTCTCTCACACACACTTGTGTTGTGTTCTTCAGGGGCGTCTGGACTCCCATTGCTCTGCAGCTCTTCCTCTGTGTTCAGCACAGGCTTCTCCTCCTCTTCCTCCTGGAGTCTCTTGGTCGGGCGAGTGGATCGGGGTCTCCCTCTCTTCCTACCCCGTGTGTGTGTGGATCCGCCCACCGATCGCACCGTCGCCTCACGCTTCGTCTTATTGGCCATTGCCTCCAGATACCCAGGAGGATACTGATCCGCAGACAGACAGGGAGATGTAGTCAGTCATTATAATAAGACTGCAAAAAGATTTCCTCCCACACTCACACACACACTCCTCACCTGGACTTTGAGGCCCAGTTTCTTGCTGCGCTCGGTTCCCTCAGGAGTCCAGGGCGCCGGCTCCAGGTCGTCCCGTCGGAGAAGGTATCGCCACACTAGAAACCCACATTTCCCGATCTCCGGCCAGTACTTTACCACCTGAAGACAGCACAGATGAGGAGTGTGTGTTTGTGTGTGTGTGTGTGTGTGAGTGTGTGTACCTTATAAATGCCATCGTAGCGGTTCCCCTCCTCCGGGGCGTATTTGCTGATGCGTCGACCCTTGGAGCTTCGGATCACTCGCACCGGTTTTCCCGCTCGCCAGTTGCGTGACTCGGCCCCGTCCTTGTCATTCAGGGGGGCATCACAGTTCAGTGCCAGAGCCCTGAAAGGTCAGAGGTCAAAAAAGACGTACAGACACATTTAACATCCGTGTAAACATCACAGCCACCACACACACACACACACCTGTTCATGTGTGTTAGCGTCTGATCAAACGAGTGCTCGCCGATACGCTTGTTCCCAGAGAGGTCGCGACCTCCACTGCCGGTGTAGGTGAACTCGTCACCCCGATCCTGAGAACATCACACACACGAAAGTAGTCAATTGGACCCGTTATTGAACCTTTAGACAAAAATAATAATAATAATAATAATCATATGATTTAACAAATTTGACTAAATACACATATATAAAAAGGTTTGTACAGTGGGGCCAAAACGTATTTAGTCAGCAAAATGAGAAAAGTCACATTTTAGTAGGGCTGTCAACTTTAGTCGTTTAGGCGACTAATCAGTCGATGCCGCCTTGGTCGACTGACATTCTTATTGGTCGACCAGTCGCTTTTTTTTTTTTTTTTACCAATAGAAATACATTTTCAATGATTTACTCCTTGATATTTATTCCTTTATATCCAGTTATTTATAACTGTATTCTAAATATAATTAGCCAATGTTTTATCCCCAACTTTAAATGCTTTAATTTAGGCCATTTTTGTAACTGCGCCACAGTTTAGCGTTTCGCGCTCAGTAAGGGATATAGGTAGTTTTGCTGTATTCATTTAGGTAGAACGCTACTTGTTTTGGCTTTAGTCGAAATCTAAATCTTTTGTCTGGCTACATTTTAAAACTAAGACTACAAGACTGTGTAGGCGAGTCAAGGCGACCGCGACGCTCCATTATGAGCGCGCATATCGCGTGCCCACATTTGAAATCGAACTTGAGCGTGCAAAAGACGCGAGCAGCCCTTTTAACGGCTTTATCATGATTGTGATTTCTTAATATGTTTTCCTTTTTTATTTGTACACTTGACGCATTTGAAAATAGCCTAGATAATGTAACAAAACGGAACCTACTGTATATAGCCTACGCTACCTTGCAGCCTTCCTACAACACAGCCTAGGCTATTTCAGATTGTTTTTAGGCTTTTTTTTAAATGCCTAGATCGGCTGGACAAAAGTTAACACATAGCTTTGTAAATAAAGAAGAATAGCCTGTATAAACGAGAGCTTTTCTTAAGATTTTGCATTATGTGGCAGATAGCAGTTATATTTTTTGTATCGTGTGGTGTGATCAGGTGCGCAATATTGACTGTCACCATAGACCTAACGTTAGGACAGAGCTCCTCACTTTTTGCAGTTAAAAAATCACTTAATTTTCAAAGAATTGTTTTATTATTAGAATTGTATTTATTTTTGACGTTTTTTCGATGTTGTTTTTTAAATGCTCTATATTAATTATTTAAAAAATGTTCAATCAAAACCGTTTTTTTTTTTTAGTCGACTAATCGTTGCGCAGGACAAGACTTTGGTCGACTAAGGATTTCTTTGGTTGACTACAGCCCTACATTTTAGTCACATTCACATTTTAGTCACATTTTAGTCACAAAATGAGAAAAAAAAGAGGAAATCACATTGTAGGATTTTTAAAGAATTTATTTGTAAATGATGGAGTAAAATTTGGTCAATAGCAAAAGTTCAACTCAATACTTTGTAACATAACCTTTGTTGGCAATGACAGAGGTCAAACGTTTCCAGTAAGTATTCACCAGGTTTGCACACACTGTAGCTGGTATTTTGGCCCATTCCTCCATGCAGATCTCCTCTAGAGCAGTGGTGTTTCAGGGCTGTCGTTGGGCAACACAGACTTTCAACTCCCTCCACAAATTTTCTATGGGGTTGTGGTCTGGAGACTGGCTAGGCCACTCCAGGACCTTAAAAATGCTTTTTACGGAGCCACTCCTTCGTTGCCCGGGCGGTGTGTTTGGGATCATTGTCATGCTGGAAGATCCAGCCACGTTTCATCTTCAAGGCTCTCACTGATGGAAGGTGGTTTTGGCTTGAAATCTCACGATACATGGCCTTGTTCATTCTTCCCTCAACACGGATCAGTTTTCCTGTCCCCTTTGCAGAAAAACAGCCCCAAAGCATGATGTCTCCTCCTCCATGCTTCACAGTAGGTGTGGTGATCTTGGGATGCAACTCTGCATTCTTCTTCCCCCAAACACGACGAGTTGAGTTTAGGCTTGATACGGTAGTCGGTGTTAACGGTATAGAGCATCACAGTCCCGCCCACAGCCGGTGCCGGAAGTAAAAATTCAATACAATTTCTCCATTGACATTTGAGATATAAGCCATAAAAGCGTAACCATAAATGGTAGACTTAAAACCAGCTACGGCTGTACTAGGCGATTGTATATGCTCGTATAAACGCCAAAAGTTCATGGGGCACTAACCTTGTGTTAAGATAAATGCCTTTTATTCGCGATGTATTGGATAAGTACTTCATTACCCACAATCCTGAACAATCCCACAATCCAACAGTGATGCATCTGATTGGTGGAAGTCGTGTCACGTGTCTGAAACCCCGCGAAGGTACGTGAAGACTGCAGATCGCGTAATGACGTAGGGCTAAGTTCATTGGTCGCACTTCTGAGACGCCCGCGCGCCATTGGATGTGCAGTTGCCACAGCTTAGCTAATGAGCAAGCCAGATACTCAATGTTTTTAGCATGTCGAGCTGCAAATGCGTTTGCTTCAGTAAATCGAGGAAAATGAGTTTCCCTACACATTCACTATATAAAATTCACTGGAGGAAAAAGTTCACGTGCCCGTCGTCAGATTTGGAAGTCGCTCAAAAGGCTCTTTCACGGTGGCTTTCAGCCGAATTCACTAAGGCGCGGTGGTTTATGGGAGGAGTAGTTCCTTTGCTCGGAAATGAAAATATGTACACAGGCTTGTACCCTCGACTTTTTTTGGATTTTCTCTTTGTTTTTTCACTCGAAATGATGTGTTGTATGCTTATGAGTTCAGCCGTAGCTGATTATACTCAGACATGCTCTAATACTCTTTAGATATGGATTTTACAAAATGTCAATGGGAGAAATGAATGGGAAATTTACTTCCGGCACCAGCGCTCTCTCGGGCTGTGGGCGGGACTGTGATGCTCTATTACAGTGTGTTCAGTCGCAACACCGGTTTCATGACTTGCCCACCGTGGCACCGGTGGAAAAAAAGTTTAAAGCCTTAAAAATATTTAACGCAATTACGCGTCCTGCCTATTACACCCACGACCCACAGAAAAGACACGCGTCGGTATCGGGTTATCTTTCGGGCTTGAACAAACATAACACATACAAATTATGCCAAAATGTCCATAAGAGCAGTCTTAAATGATTTAAATTAAGTCTTAAACAAACATAGAGATTTGTGAGAAAATGTGACGCGTGTCAGATCGCATCTCTGTCAGCAACGGCTGTCCGAATTCACTTACTCGTTTTTATTTACTCCTTCTCATTCAGTCCTTCAAGTGAACAGTATTGGACTAACGTTGGGAATAGGCCTAGTGAATGAGGGTTTAGGGGGTGATTTCGGATTCAACCCATGTTCTCAAGTAGTGAAAAATAGAGGACACTGACTGAAAAATAGAGGACAATGCGTTGACAGACAGGACTGAGCAGGTAATATTTAATATGAAACAAAGTCTCAACTTTCAAATTTGGTCAGTCAAAGAAAATCACACAATAAATAGGCCTAACGTTTTGTGGCTCTTTAATGTGTCGTGACAGATTGCCTGATAAAGCCAAGTTCCACCGACGTTAATCTACTAACTCTCCTGACTGCTTTGTCAGACAAAAATGGTGGATTTTGATTGGTCAGATCACATGTCTGTCAATCAAACTCCAAGCAAAGGATGAATTGACGCTAATTTAAAAGTGAAAGTGATGTAAAAAAAAATAAATAATTAGTTTAGTTTTCAAACTAGCGCATATTCAGGGCACAATAACAAAACAGTTTTCCGCACTACCGCACCATTATGAATGCCCATTCATGCCCGTGCAAACGTGCGCGTTTTATGTTTACCTTTAAATTAGCGATGTAAAAACCCCCACCAGTGACACCAGTATTACCGGTGTTGTCACACATCGATTAACCGGTGAGAAAATATCTTCACCGTCACATCCCTAGTTGAGTTTTTACCAAAAAGTTCTATTTTGGTTTCATCTGACCACATGATATTCTCCCAATGCTCTTCTGGATCATCCATATGCTCTCTGGCAAACTTCAGACAGGCCTGGACATGTACTGGCCTAAAGCTGGGGCACAATTGAGTATTTGAGTCCCTCTCGGCGTAGTGTGCAACTTATGGTAGCCTTTGTTACTTTGGTCCCAGCTCTCTGCAGGTCCAGGGCTCCAGACTGCGACCAAATGGTCGCATTTTGCGACGAAAATTTGAGAGTGTGCGACTGAATTTTACATCCAGTCGCACATGTGCGACCAGTAAATTTGCCACACGTTAAACGCATGGTAAAGCGTGGAAGGGGCGCGTCAATGAATCCGTGACAAGAATAGCGCGCGTAAACGTCTGTGGGAAGGAGACGGAGACAAATATCAAAACCTGATGTGCGTCTGAGCAATCAGCGATCTATCGACTCGTTAGTCGTTACCTAGCAGCGAATACAAACAAAATGAAAGTGGAACGAAAATACGTCCATCATTATGATTAGGACCGTGGAGCAGCAGCTGCGATCCGAACCATAAAGCCCCGAACTTGCCAGTCGCGGGCCGATCTCGCTCACGCAACTACTGTTACTAGGAGATCCAGTGAAGAAATCCATTGAATTCGCCTCAGAATTAATAACATCAACACCACGAGATCCAGTGAGAAACACTCCGATTCGGTGCAGAGTTCTGTTATAAACCATATCAGATCAAACAGCGCTGATGTGGAAACCAGGAGAAACACTTATAGAAGGCTTTCAGTCCACAAATCAGCCTACCAGAACCATGGATTTAGGCTAATGTAGTAAGTTAACTCTAACCATAAATATGATAATGTGTAAGAAATAGTCAAATGCTTACAAGTAGCCTACTACACATCTTTTCCCAGCACTTCAATAATATCATATATAAATGTTTTATTTTTTTGTATTTTTTATGTGATTACCAACGCATTTTTTGTTCATCCTTTAAAGATTGTCCTAAAAAGAAAAATTTTAAGATGTTGGAAAACTCTTATTTAAACACTTAAAAAAAAAATACCATTGTAAACAGTAGGATGTTTATTGGCTATTTTCACTTCATGTACATATTTTCACTCCTTTTATTAATTAATATTAAGACATTATAAATGATAATAACTAAAGTTAATTTCATCTACACCCTAAATTAAGCTTAGTGATTTATTGTCAGTGCTACCAGAATTTTTTTTTGTAGAACTCGCTGTGAGTTCTCATTTGAGGTGATGCTGCCCTCAACTTTGAGTCTGGAACCCTGTGAAGTTAAAATAAAACAGCATATCATAATGTTAAGTCTATTTATTATTAAAGAATTTGTCAGTATTACAGTTATTTTGGGGGAAATTTGAATAATTGCATTGCAAGCTGAGTGTGCCCCTAAATTTTCTGCTTGCGCTCCAAAAATTTTCAGTCAGGGGCAACAGCGCTCCTAGTAAAAAAAGTTAGTCTGGAGCCCTGCATTCATCAGGTCCCTCCGTGTAGTTCTGGGATTTTTGCTCACCGTTCTCATGATCATTTTGACCCCATGGGATGAGATGTTGCATGGAACCCCAGATCGAGGGAAATTATCAGTGGTCTTGTATGTCTTCCATTTTCTTACAATTGCTCCCACAGTTGATTTTTCCACACCAAGCTGCTTGCCTATTGTAGATTCACTATTCCCAGCCTGGTGCAGGTCTACAATTTTCTTCCTCGTGTCCTTCGACAGATCTTTTGTCTTGGCCATGGTTGAGTTTGGAGTGTGACTGTTTGAGGCTGTGGACAGGTGTCTTTTATGGACCATTTCAAAAGATGTAAACAACACTGGTCCAGAAGCACTTCCTGTTTCAGTTTTTTAACACTACATAAGAGCTGGGATAAAATACAACCAACAGAACACTTAAAATTGAATCAAAAAGTTAAACAAACATCTTTAAGATGTTTTCTTTACATGTGAAATAAAGAAAACAGTTACAAACTGAAACAGGAAGTGTTTCTGGACCAGTGTTGTTTACATCTTGTGAAATGGTCTATACAGATTACGGGTTCAAACAGGTGCCAATAATACAGGTAACGAGTGCAGTACAGAAGAGCTTCTTGAAGAAGAAGTTACAGGTCTGTGAGAGCCAGAAATCTTGCTGGTTTGTGGGTGACCAAATACTTATTTTCCACCATAATTTAAATAAATATTCAAATAAATTGTTTAAAAATCCTACAATGTGATTTCCTGGATTTGTTTTCTCATTTTGTCTCTCATAGTTGAAGTGTACCTATGATCAAAATTACAGACCCCTCTCATTATTCTAAGTAGGAGAACTTGCACAGTCAGGGGCTGACTAAATACTTTTTGGCCCCACTGTATATGTATTTTTGTTGAGTATAATATTTAATTATTTCATCAAGTTTTTATGATATAGTGAGAATACAGAAGATAAAAAAGCTGTGAGAAATATAAACTCGCAATTATGAGAAAAATGTCAGAATTGCGAAATATAAACTCACAATTATGAGAAAAATGTCAGAATTGTGAAATATAAACTCGCAATTGTGAGAAAAATGTCAGAATTGCGAAATATAAACTCGCAATTACGAGAAAAATGTCAGAATTGCGAAATATAAACTCACAATTACGAGAAAAATGTCAGAATTGTGAAATATAAACTCACAATTATGAGAAAAATGTCAGAATTGCGAAATATAAACTCGCAATTACGAGAAAAAAAATGCCAGAATTGCGAAATATAAACTCGCAATTACGAGAAAAATGTCAGAATTGTGAAATATAAACTCACAATTACGAGAAAAATGTCAGCATTGTGAAATATAAACTCGCAATTGTGAGAAAAATGTCAGAATTGCGAAATATAAACTCGCAATTACGAGAAAAATGTCAGAATTGCGAAATATAAACTCTCAATTATGAGAAAAATGTCAGAATTGCGAAATATAAACTCTCAATTATGAGAAAAATGTCAGAATTGAGAAATATAAACTCGCAATTATGAGAAAAATGTCAGAATTGTGAAATATAAACTCACAATTACGAGAAAAATGTCAGAATTGAGAAATATAAACTCGCAATTGTGAGAAAAAAAATCTTAGAGTTGCGAAATATAAATTCACAATTGTGGAATAAAAGTCAGATTTGTGAGATATGATTTTTAGAGTTATACGGATGTACAATGAGAAAGCCCTCACCACTTCATCTTCGAAGCCCCCGGCGAGCACCAGCGAGTATGAGCCGTCGTTACTGCGCCCGTGAATCCCTCCGACGTGAGGCCTGTGCACGCCCGCCTCGCTCACCTGAACACACACACACAATCAACAGCCAAGCCCTTCCCAGAATGCACTGCTCCGAGCAGATCTTCTCACCTGAACACGAAACTTCCACGTGGTTCCGACGGGAACGCCAGGAACTGGGCCGTAGTGATTGGAGGGGACAATCGTGCATTCTTTAGTGCGGCCCACACACGCCATACCCTAAAACACACACACACGTTTTCTCTCTGAGTAAATGAGCGCCTGAAACTGCTCAAGCTGTTACACTAACAGGCCTTTGATCTGCAGAAGATCACCCTCGATGTTCAGCCGACATTAATCAACAGAACAATCAGTGTATACTCAGCATGACCGCAACACACACACACACGTTCATGTTCATAATTTAAAGCCTCTGCTTTTGCTTTTGAATACAGGTTTTGAGAAATTAATTAAAAAGAATTTGGGGAATTTGCTTAATTGTGATTCAAGTAAAAGAAGTAAAGAAATATACATTTTGATGTGTGCTTATTAACACAGCAGGATAAACGTGTGTGTGTGTGTGTGTGTGTGTGCGTGTGAGAGAGAGAGAGAGAGCGTGAGTGTGTGTGTGTGTGTATGTGTGAGAGTGTGTAAGAGTGAGTATGTATATGAGAGTGTAAATGTAAGAGTAAGTGAGTGTGTGTGTGTGTGTGTGTGTGTGTGTGTGTGTGTGTGAGAGAGAGAGAGAGTATGTATTACTGTCTGTGTGTATGTGTGTGTTTGTGTGAGTTTGTAAGTGTTTGTATTTCTCACCTTGCCCCAGTCTCTCTGGCTCTCTGTTGTAGCCGACGGCATCTTGGATTTCTTCTTGCTGGTTCGGAGTTTCTCTCCGGCTTTAACCACTTCACTGCTGTCGTTCTTGCAGGTGGGGCAATACCTGCACAACACACACAAACATGTTAAGAATAGAAACTCTGGCCTGTAAATCGTTTCTATTTTGTTTTAGTTGTTCTTTTCTGCCCCAGATAAATAATATCTGAAATATTTGTTTTTAAATGTTTTATACATAGATCATTTCTAGTTTGTGGGAGTCCCGCGAATCGTTTTATTATCCCGCAACCCGCACACACATAATGAGTGCATTGCCGCCCGGGCCCAAATCTATTTTACACATTCTACGTATAGCGTCCGTAAAAATTATCAAGCTCTTTTTTTTTTTTTATTGTGCGATTAATTGATTTATTGACTATTGCGACAGGCCTACCCTCTAGCGTAACGTGGAAGTGTGTGTAAGTTTGTGTTTTAGTGAGTGTGTGTGTGTGTGTAACAAAACCATTATTCTCTTCATGAGACATACACTTATCTTGGACATAAAATTAATATTGCAGGAGAATGGAAGGAGCAAGTAAGCATAATTTTGTCAGAATTTACATCTAGGCTGGATTTGATTGACAAATGCCCATTACCCCTGACTATGAAGTTAGAGGCTATTAGACAGGTGGTGCTGTCTAATGTACTACATTTATTCTCTATGAATAATAAGACAGTGACTCTAGTGTGAAAATGGTTTGAACTGAACACGCATATTATCCGTGATATTATTTTTCACCCCCAATGGGAAGGAGGGATGGGGGTCCCAAACATGATATGGATTTATACCAGCATGCGTATTTCCCATCTTCTGAACATGCTGAATAATGATGACACGAAAGTGAGAGAGCTGGCCCAATCCTCCCTGTTCCTGGACCTTCAGAGACGCCATAGACATATACACTAGACTTCACCTTGGGGTTCTAAGCATGCGTCAAAACCGCCGCCATCTTGGAACAGGGGTCTTGTCATAGGAAGTAGCTAGGTAACGCTGCTATCTCTGCCTTTACTTCGAATTCATTGATGGTGGCGGACTTTTATGCAGCGTATGGTGTTCACGGATGAAATCTGAACTAGGAAGAATGTTAAAAAAAAAAAAAAAACATTTTCTTTCTGGAATCAATGATAAATACATGTCTGACCGTTGGAACAAACCAAAAAAACAAGAAAAATCGCATTCATGATGATTTATGGTGATTTTATTTCCGTTAGACCTGTGTCTACTACATTGATGCTGATGCATTAAAGTGGAGGGGCTCCCCTGTTTCAAGATGGCGGCTCTATTGACGCATTCGTTCCAATGAACTGCCGTAGCCAAGGTGAGGTCTAGTGTATATGTCTATGCAGAGACGCAAGGTGCCGCTGGCCAGAGGATCAGAGACACACTTTCTTGGCTTTAAGAGAAAATCCAGCGGGAAACTTGAAACCCATTCCGCCGGCTTTGGCGTCAGGTCAGACTGGCTGGACCTGAACGATCTCTGTGTCCGCACTGGAGTGTGTGCGTTCTGACTCTGGGACTGTGAGGGGTCTCTGAGGACATCATTACTGACCCCTGACCTCTGTCAGGGCCACAGCCACATACAGTGGTCACAGCACACTAACATCCACAGGGGCCAGCCAACTCTCCTGGACTACAGCAACATCACCAGAAACAACACTGGACAGGACTGAAACTTCAGGGGAAACTTGCATGTCTCTCCTCCGCTGATCACTCATTTTTTAAGAATACTGCACTCAGTGAGGAGTCATTATGATTTTTACAGTAAAAGCCAGACTACAAGTTCTTCCAACCAAACTCAATCTCTCTATCTCGCTTCCTACAATGCAATTACCTCTTTGTTTGCTTCTGCCATGCCTATACAGGAGTGTACACCGCACGCCACGACAGAATAGTGGATCTTATAGTAAAGGACATATCAAGTAGGGCTGGGTATTGAGACAAATTTCACAATTCGATTCGATTTCGATTCACAAGCTTGCAATTCGATTTCGATTCGATTCGATTCAATATCGATTATTTTGGATATCAGTTACAATAAAATGGCCATTTTTCTCAAGGAAATCAAATCTCTTAAATGCTGTAAACTATGGTCTATATTAGGGGTGGAGCCGAATCCGAATACGGTATTCGGAAAGGCACAAATAATGTGTTTTTTACGAATACTTATTCCGAACAAATACTTAAAATATGTATTTGTATTCGGGAACAACAATTACTTTATATCAAAAAGCTGCTTTCCTCACGAGACCGCAGTGCGCGAGTTGAGTGATTGACGTTCAGGAAGAGGTGACTGACACAGGCTGCTCCACACAGCAACAGAGAGGGCTCGGCTGAGCGAAAAAAACACTTAACTGCATCACTATTTTTGTTGAATAGATGTTTGTACCTTAACTAGGTTCCGGAGGCAGTTTATAACTTTCGGGAAGCGGAGTTTGATCGGGAGTATATTCCATTATTGACGTCTGTAGACGGGTGCTCTCATTTTCGCTCCGTTTACGTAGCTCTGTTAGCTCGGTAACGGTTTATTTGTTTCTTACATGGCTTGGTTGAATTCTAATGTAGAATGCGGTCCGTTATTATAACATGCCGCTGATTATAAGTATAACACACCGTTGCCATGAAAAACAGAGCGTTGCCATGGATTCTAAACGTAGAGACAGAACGGACTATTTTTTCTTCTTTAGCGGAAGCGATACAATCGTTTTTTAAATCCACAAACTCCTTTTTATATCCATATTTTGAGTCAAATTATTGATTTATTTGGTAGGTAGCCATATCATAAGCGGGGTAATGTAGAGCGAGGCAGCAAATACAAACCCTTCAGGCTTCGCGTCGGGCTCATAATCAACCTCCTCACTATAAATTATCCCTAAACTTATTCTGTCTGCTCAGCTGCCCTCCACCGTGGTGTTGGGGTTCATAATGTTCACAATTGTATTTTATTAGTTGGTTTTACCATGGTTCATGAGGTAATGGATGACTGTTATTTTCTTTTCAATGACTTTTCTTGTTACATGTTCATTGCTGGATTTATAGAAAAACATATCCATAATTATTATAATGGATATAATTAAAGAATCCATACACTATAAAGTATTTTTAAAGATTTTTATGCCTATTTTGAATTTTACTCGAATACAAATACAAATACTTTTCCTCCCTGAACAAATACAAATACAGATACAAATACCGGCTGCTTTGCACACCCCTAGTCTATATATATATATATATAGTCTAGTTGTAGCCTACTAGGCTTCATTAGCCTAATATGAAGGTAATAATTAACCGTTTTGTAGCTATACAAACACTTAAATTACACTTTTATTTATTTTTATAATAAGAAGATTATATAAAATATAAACATTTAAATGGTGGCTGTCATAAAAACTTGCCAGATTTATTCCAATATGCAATAAATATTGAAGAACACTAACGAGTGTGGACTAACGAGTTTATGTGGGTTTTCTGAGGTAAATATGACGATACATGACATTTATTACAAGCTGTTTAATTGACGTCTTTCCACGGTTGAAACGCAGATTGAGCGAATCAATGTGACATGATAGGGATTTAGATAAGTTGTACTCTATCTTTTAACTCACTTTCAGATGCTCATTCATGTTTATTTCGCGCTGTGACCGGTATTATTAACCCGGAAGAGAGATCAGCGCTGCTGCTTCTCTTGAGCTGCGCCAGAGCGATCTCACGCCACAGCGCCAAAACGGCAAAACGCAATTTATGTTTTTGAATTTCTAAAGAAAATGGACGTAATTTGAAAATTGAGACTTTGTTTCATATCAATAGTAACAAAGGACAAAGATTATTGCGATTTGTTGGATGCGCGCAGCCGCGATACAATGTCTCATTCATTCAAATGAAACAGAATGACTAATCGATTCTTGAGATTTAAGGATCGATACCGGTTTGTAAAAATGAGAATCGATTAATATCGAGAAATCGATATTTATTACCCAGCCCTAATATCAAGCTATTTCTCATCTGCTGTAAAAATGTAAAACATTCTTGTGTAAAATCATCTGTTTCAGAATTGTAATAGCTCTGAAACCTTTCCTTATGTGTTTGCAAATACACCAGATATTGTTGTGATTAAGAGATCGGCGAGGTGTTCGTTGAGGTCACATGTACCTTTGACTCTAGTATGGAAGAAGTCTTTATGACTAAGATGATTAAATATCAACAACTCCAAAACATCATCTCAGAATTAGGTTATCAGAGCCGACTTCTTGTGCTCATATTTGGTAGCTTAGGCACACAGGCTGGTTGTAACTGTGGCTTCAACAACTAGGGATGCCAAAAAAAGGGATAAACGGCTAGCAAAGCATTGTGGTTTGTCTGCTATTATAGACAGCCGTCATATCTGGCGGAGACGGTGCTACTGTATCCATAACAACTGAGTGACGCTAAATAAATCAGTGAAAATCTGCTGTATGCCACTGGTCCTTGATTATGTGCATGCATTTGACTGCATGTATAGTATTTTTTGTCAAGTCAAGTCAAATATATTTATATAGGGCTTTTCACAATACAGATTGTATCAAAGCTGCTTCACAGTATCAATCAAAACAACTTAACAGTGTTTGTTTATTTGTGTCCCTGTAAATCATTTCTTTTAAAGGGATAGTGCACTTTGAAATTATTTTTTGGTATGTTTTAGCTTACCTCGAGGGCATCCACGATGTAGGTGTCTTTGTTTTCGCAGTAGTTTCAATTTTGCTATTTTTAGGTTCGTGTGAGAAAACGAACAGAATTTATATCGTTTTTACCTCTTGTAACCACAGCCACGTCCAAGTGATCTGAGGGCGCGGGCGCTTCGGTCTGCGCAAATGCCGGAAAGCGGTAGAAGCGATCTCTCGCGCGGTTGTGAAAAAAATTAAATGTTGTCTGTTGATATATCGAAATTGTCTTCCATTGCGATTTCTTGTATATCTAAATATGTTTAGATCTTCACAGTGAAAGGTAAGACTTCCGAAGATCACTTCGGCCGCTTGCGCAGACTGAAGCGCCTGTGCCGTCAGATCACTTGGACGTGGCTGTGGTTACAAGAGGTAAAAACGATATAAATACTGTTCATTTTCTCCCACAAACCGCTCGTTTTGTGTCTTAGGCCATCAATGTGTACTTACATTTAAGAGTCATTAAATCATGTTTAATTTGGACTTCTCTGTGCATGCTCTTTGAGGTGGTGACCATAGACCTGCATTATATGACTGACAGACAACTGTTCGACTTAAAAATATCAAAATTGAAAATACTGGGGAAACAAAGACACCTAGATCTTGGATGCCCTTGAGGTAAGCTAAAACATACCAAAAATTAAATTCAAAGTGAACTATCCCTTTAAGTGGACCTAAATAAATAGATAAAATGTGTCTCACCAGTCTTCATCCTCAGGTATGGAGGACAGTGGAGGGTTCAGACAGTAAATGTGGAAGGCCATGTTACACTCGTCACACAGGAGCTGCATGTGAGCGTCTTGCTTCCCTCCACACACACAACACGAGCAGAACCGGCACTCGGTGTCGGGGTCCGCTTTACAGTGCTTACACTCCGGCCCGCTCTTCCCTGACACACACACACACACACACATGCACTTCAACATAAACCCTAGGGCTTGGCATCGATTCAGATGTTCCGATTCGATTTCAATTCTAAATTCGATTTCGACTCAATAAATATAGATTTAAAGGTGTAGTTGTATGCTTGTATTTACTGTCATTTTGAAGCGTCCTTGAGCTTGGGAAAGGCGCGATATACGTAAATTAAACTTATTATTATTATTAGTTCACTTTCAAACGAAAATTAGCCCATGGTTTACTCTAATCAACCCTAATCAGCCCTACACCCATGTGACCTGAGGACACGTACGTTTGAACGGGCCATCAGACGAAGACAGTGCTGGTGCTCCGGGTTTCTCTATCCGGTAAATCTCATCCAGAAACTGCAGCTTACAGTCACCAATCACATCGCCCGGACCTCTGAAACAGCCAATCACAGCAGGGGATTACAGTGACATCATTTGTGTGTGTGTGAATGATCAGTGAATCACTAGGGCTCTTTCAAATCCAGTGTTTGGACCCAAAACTTCTATGTTTTCCGTTTTTATTTTTCTGGATTACATTATTAAATTCATTTTCAGTAATTAAATAGAACATCTAATAAATTGAAAAATGGATTAAACGTGTAATAATGTATTTACTATGAATCAATAATATGATCGATTCAATGACTTCACTTGTTTCATAAATGGATGAATCAGCGCTTGAATGATTGAAAGAATCTCTGAATGAATGATTCAATGACACATGTCTCCACCTACTGGTGAAACGATGATACAATCTTTGTTTCTTTTAAAAGTTGATGTACTCTATTTTATACACTTCTGTAAACATCATGGATCAATAATCTTTTATCCCAGTGCTTCTGTGATAATCTGAAAGATTGTAAGGCAGAAATAAGCTCACCCCAGCAGGATCTTGACGTGGATCTCTTTGTTGGTGCGCGAGACGGCGTTCAGAGTCAAGATCTCGGCGTCGTACCAGAAGCCTCGCTCCTCGGGAAGCTCCAGGTTATAGTTGACCATCACCACATCTCCCACCTGGAGCTGGTCAAAGCGCAGAAGAGTTCTGGCCCGCGGGCGCACGTCATCTGGGCTCATCGCCACCACGCCGTTCTCCGGGTAACTGAAACAGACCAGCGTAATCAGCGAACGAATGAACCCAGTCATTATGTTTGACTAGTGACTGAACAACAGAAGGCTGAGAGAAACATAATGTGCTTCACCAAAACAGAGAACTGCAACAATGAGTGTTTTCAAACAGGTTTCCTGAGCACTGCCCTCTTCTGCCATTGGTCAGTCAAACTGATAGCCCCGCCCCCAAACTCACTCCATTGGTTGAGTCAGAAGTTGCCGTGTTCAGGCTTGATATCAACCCGGGCTGCGTTCAGCCCCGACAAAACATTGCGCAACGTTTTTTAAACAGAATCGGTGATGTGTTGAACACACTGTTGTGATGACGCAAGAGTTGCAGCTATGGCAGATGAGAAGGCCATTCTTTGTGTTCTTTGTGAAGAATTTTCGGAGCATGATGAATGTTTGCATGTTTTCACTTACACTGTGAAAACACAGACCGGAAGACAAAAGACAATGATCGCAGCGCTGAAAAGGGGTGGGGCTACATAAGGTCTATAGGCCAGGGGTTTTCAAACTTTTTGTGTGTGTGGACCACTATTTGTAATCAAGAATTTTCAAGGACCACCTCATAATACACAATATTATGATATAACATATTATATTATACAGTATATTACATATTAGAACCAGGTTCATTTGAACAACAGGCTTATTTCCATAGCAATGGAGTATGAAATCTATACAGTAATAAGAACACTTGGATATAGTCAGCATTTCAAAACCTTTGGCGATTTAAGGGGATTATTAACGTTAATCTTCAGAGTTCTACAAGCCCTCAAAATGTAGGCTTGAGTTTGTCCACTTAACAGCACATCCGCAAAACTTTTTCAGAAACACGAGATCAAGAAACTAATGTTAACTGGAAATTAAAATAATAACAGGCCTTATTCATTCCATTTATAAACATTTCGTTTCATATAGGCCTAAACTGCTTATAAAGGATATGCATTTGATTTGATAATGAGAACATATTTGCCTCTGCCCTATAACGTTACACATTTAAAAGAAAACACAGTAGGCCTAATTAGGGGTGTGCGATATGACGATTTTTAATCGTGGACGATTAAAATGTCTCCACGATCTGCTTTTGAAGAAATATCGTATCGTGTTACAGTGCATTCTATCAGTTCAGTTCTGGCGCCTCCGTCTCTCAACTGTACAACGCGACGTAGCCTCATGATCACACGTTAATGAATAGGTACGGGACACTGCAATTCACAAAAGTTCATTATTTGCATAAGCCTTGCCGGTTAAACATTTAATTCACGCGCTGATGTGCTGTTCTAACGTGCGCTTTCCTGACCGCATAACCCCCGTCGCTCACAGGCACTAGAAGCCTGTCAAACAGCGCCTGAATACTGGACTAAGTTATCTCTCTCGAGTCTTATTATGCTAATACTGTTAAATACACACAATGTGTACATAAACAGGCTATGTCTAAAGTCAAAGCAAACATTTGAGAGAATATCTGGTGTAATATGCGTCTATATTAAACGCGTCGCGTGCTGGTCTGAAAGCCACAGGAATGTAGCCTACTGCCGCTTAAAAAAAAAAAAAAATCCGTCATTATTTACTCACTCTAATGTTGTTCCAAACCTGTATTAATTTCTTTCTTGTGCTGAACACAAAAGACATTTTTTTTTAATGTGGGTAACCAAACAGTTGCTGGTCCCCATTAACTTCCAGGAGAGAACCTATAAAAGAAAACTATAAGGAGACCAGCAACTGTTCGGTTACCCACATTATTTTATTTTCAACAGAAGAAAGAAACTTATTCGGGTTTAAAACATCTTGAGAGAGTAAATTTAGACAATTTTAATTTTTGAGGGAACTATCCCTTTAGTGTTAATAAAACAAACAAACAAACAAAAAAAACACAAGGAGAAAATCACTCACTGACTGAGAAATTTAATAGTAGCTTTAATAAGAATCAATAATTTATTCAGTGAAGTCTGTAGTGTTTTAATTTCATATTTGTTCATTTAATTACTTCAATGCTACACACCTACTGTATCTGAAAAAATAAAGCACTATTTATTTAATATAAATATTAATTTGTGTAATGTTTATCTTGTCTTATTTTTTTAATAACAAAGAAAATAATGACAAAGATTTTTATCTTCGCCTCTGGCCTAAATGTATGCCTTTCTTTTTTCTTTTGTTACCTAAGGCTTTGTTTTTAGCATAAGGACATTAGTTTGGCTGTAATGAACAGCCACTTGCAAAATATTAAAACCAACTTGAAAAAGAATCGTGATAAAAAATCGTGATCGTGATTTTCCTAAAAAAATCGTGATATGATATTTTTTCCATATCGCCCACCCCTAGGCCTAATTCCAGGTTAAAAATAAAGTTGTCAAAAGGAAAAGCCATTGGAGTCTATTTGCCGTTCAAGCTCCGTGTCGTCACCCTCCACATTTTTCCTTTCTCTTTGTATCGTCTGTCTAATATAGACCTATATAACAAACAACTAAATAAATGCTCACCTAACCTGTTGCTATTCACCGATCCGGTGTTGTGGTTCTGACGACATGGAGCTTGAACGTCACGGCCGACCGCCACTAGCCTATTTATAATCACACAATAGCTTGACAATTTAATTTACATTTTATATAAATATAGGCCTACATATTCTTTTTACTTTTTTAATTGGAATTTCTTGGTAAAATATTTTAGATTTTATTTTGCCTTTTCACGGACCACCTGCAATGCCCTCACGGACCACTAGCGGTCCGCGGACCACAGTTTGGGAATCGCTGCTATAGGCTACCGAGCTGCATCGAACACATTTGTAAGTGACTTTCCTTGAACCCATTGTGCGAGTTCACTTTAATATCGCATGTTTTATATACAGGTTGCTGCTGATAGGACTGCACTTCTGACACACCCACCAAACAAGAGAAAACGTATCTCCAACCCTGTTGCACACCGTTTCCAGGAAACATGACGTTCAACTCGTAAACCGTAGCAAAGCGTTGCGCACCGGTTTGAACTTGAACGTGCCCCTGTTAAGCTGCAACCCCACTTCTGAAAAATCCCCAGAAATGGCATACCCAAACTGATACAGATACAGTTCATGAACCCTTTGTACTAAAAGCACAAGTATGATCTCATTTGAAAGCTGACATCTGGCAGTTTATTGTAAATGTAGAATTAATTAGTCATAATGAAAAAAATACATATAAATATAAGTGGCTTCAAAGTTTTTTAAAGTTGTTAGAAATTTGTTTTTATGAAACATCATCATGAAATTAAAATTGAAGTTATACTTTTTAATGATGTATAGTTTGTCAAGATAATAACATTAAATATGATAGTAACTTTGTTTGAACTATTAAAAAAAAAACGCTTCAGTGCGCCGACGCTCATGGCAACGGTTAAGAGGTTTAAATAAAAGATCAATGTTCTGAAAGCATCAGTCAGTCATATGATAAAACTGCGAATGATTTATTTAATGAAGGGTTTCTAAAACTTGGTTCAATGAAAAGCTAATTAGATCAAATAATATATAAAATGATGTGTGCTATGTTTTAGGAATATGTTTTTTTTTAGAAAGGCCTGACTAGGGACTGGGGTTGCAAATTTAGCCTAATGGCTAGAAACCTTTTATGCAACACATTTACACATTTTGTTATGGCTTTGCCTATTACAACTATGTATGTAATAATGTGCGCTGCATTGTCCCTGACAAATAAACTAAGAAATAAAATAAATAAATAAATAAAAAGATATATATATATATATATATATATATATATATATGAAATATTAAATTTTAAGGAGGACATTATTCGGATGATTTGATCAGCTAACCTGCCGTATATCAGACACCTTGATCTCTAGATCTCGACATTGGCCACTGAGAAACGACAAATGAGTTATTCTGAACGTTTGCATCTCACGCCACACAACATCACTCTGAGTAGGGCAACAGTAGGGCCCTATGATTTCCACGATCACGGAATTACGGACGGAATTGGCAAATTAGAGGCAGAATCTAGTGTTAACGCGGTATTTCGTGGAATTTTACATATTTGGTTTGAAATTCTGTTTTTGTGTGGGAGAAGAACGTAGGTCTGGTGAAAATGCAGACGGGGGGAAGCAAATCTGGGCGACAAAATGAAAGAATGGCGAAGCGGCTCTTCTACGGCTCTGCTTTTGTAGGCAAAAAAGTTAAGAAACTCAACGCTATAACCCGTCAGTGCCGAGCAGTTCGCAGATGACTTATGTAGTGTTTCACACACAGACTAATTCGCCGCCACATACTGCGTTTTGTTCATTTTTTAACACTATTTAAAACACGCAGCATATTCTTTCAGTTGTCTTTTCAGTTGTTCAGTTGTTTAAACTTATATAAACTAATATAATTTATTTTACTGGACAGTAAAGCTCATAACCATATTTCCTTGTTACTTGAAGAGTGCAGTGTTATGTTGCATCATGCATTATCCTGAAAAGGCTACTGAGTAAATGTCTGTTACCTCAATAAATTTAAAGGGGGGGGGTTGACTGCTTTTTTCCTTTGCATGATTGTGTTTATGGGGTGCAATATAACATGTATTCATGGTTTTTCTTTTTTTAAAAGTCTTATTTTTCATAAACTTCACCTTTATTGTCAGCCGCGGTCTCCTCTGTCCTCGAACGAGCGGTTGACTTTCTGAGTCTATGAAACCACTCCCTCAGAAACAGGCAGTGGGCTCAGATTGGTTAGTTTGGCCCGGTGTGTTGTGATTGGCTAAACTGTCGTTCACGTTGCCCAGAAGGTTAACGGCCATTACCTTTACGTGCGAAACGTGCACGTCATGAGCTCCGGTCCAGATGTAAATAATGGTGTCGAACTGCAGTATCAGTTTGAGGCAGAATCAGACCGAGAAAGCCGCGATGAAGAGAGTCAAACAGAACCTCACCACACACGGCTCTTACTAAACTTTTCTGAATGATAATTTGCTACATTTTTTAACTTTATACACTTTTGTTTTACACAATAGC